AGGAGTGATGGCTCAGCTGTTAGGGCTACTCTTGCAGAGAACCCAAGTTCAGTTCCCAGCACCCATGTTAGGTGGCTCACAACCACCTGGAACTCCAGCCCCAAGGAATCCAACACCCTCTTCTGGACTCTGGGTGCACTTGCACTCACATGGCACACACATGTACATGTGTGCATATTAATTAAAAAAAATAATTTCCTGGTGTCAAACCTGCTGGTGGAACCTACCAGTTCAAATCACCATAAGCCCTCCTGATTGGGAAGCCTCAAAATGAACAGGGCTACGAAAGACCCACTGTTCTCTTCTGCCTGTTTGAGATCTCGATGTCCTGCTGCCGTTGTTTGTATATGAAGAGCCATAACTGACATACTCTTTATTGTTTTGTGTTGGGTTTTTTGAGTCTCCCTGTAGCCACAGCTGGCCTGGAACCTGCTGTGTAGATCAGGCTGGCCTCAATCTCACAGAGATCTACCTGCCTCTGCCTCCCAAGTGCTGAGATTAAAGGTGTGTGCCACCATGATTGGCAATAGCTGGCATAATCTCATGGAGCAAATTCAGGAAAAAGACAAATGTTTTGACCACAAAGCATTCAACTAAGATCATAAAAATCTTACTGACGTAGAAATATTTCAGATGGATAACATTCATGTTATGACTAGTGCAGTGGTTTGAATGAGAATTTGTCCCTAGTTGATGGCATTATTTTGGGAGGTTTTAGGAGGTACAGCCTTGCTGGAGGAAGTACATCACTAGGGGGTAGGCTTTGAGAATATATTGTCATGCCCACTTCCAGTCTGGCTTGCTCTGCTTCCTGTGCCTGTTTGAAGATGTCATCAACTGACTTTCTGTTCCTGCCATTTCTGTCACCATGCCTCCCCTGCCATTATGGGCTCTAACCCTATGAACCCAAGCCAACTAAATTCTTTTTATAAGTTACCTTGGTCATGGTGTTTTATCACACAACAGAAAAGTAACTAATACAATCAGTTAAATGATTGTTAAAACCCTTTTCATGGGCTGGAGAGGTGGTTCAGCAGTTAAGAGCACTGGCTGCTCTTTCAGAGGACCTGGGTTCAGTTCCTAGTACTTACATGGCAGCTAACTGTCCGAAACTCCAGTTCTAGGGGGTTCAATGCTTTTCTGGCTTTGGTGGGCACTGTGTGACACTTAAATGCAGGCAAAATATGCATACACATTTTTTAAAAGTCTGTACTGCTCTTTCAGAGGACCTGAGTTAGGTCCCATGTTGCATGGCTCATAACTACCTCTAACTCCAGCTCCAGGGGGTCTGAAACCTTCTGGCCTCCATGAATGCACCCCCCACCCATAATACACACACATTGACACATACATACACATGAAATAAAAAATAAATTCTTAAGCTGGGTGTGATGGCACACGCCTTTAATCCCAGCGCAGAGGCAGGTGGCTCTCTCTGAGTTCGAGGCCAGCCTGGTTTACAATAGTGAGTTCCAGGGCAGCTGGGGCTACAGGGAGATGCTGTCTGAAAAAGACCAAAATAAATACTTTTTGTTGTGGTTGTTCTTTTTTGAGTCACAAGTGGGTAGGTGTAATCCTGTACTCCCAGCACCTAGAAAGCAAAGGCAGGGAGGGGTTCCAGGTCCAGTGGGAAAACCTATCTCAAAAAAAAAAAAAAATGATTCAGCTGGTAAAGCACTCACCATCTAAGCCTGACCACCATCAGAGTGTGACCCCCAGAGCCCATATAAAGGTCTAAGGAAATGATTCCACAAAGCTGTCCTCTGACCTCATGTGCAGTGTGGCATGTGTGCACTCACACACACACACACACACACACACACACACACAAAGATGGAGAGCCATCAAAGAGTCTACCTTGGGCCTCACCAGCTTGCACATACGCTGTCCTCTGACCTCATGTGCAGTGTGGCATGTGTGCACTCACATACACACACACACACACACACACACACACACACACACACAC